CTTTTTTTTTTTTCCCCCCCCCCCCCCCCCCAAATACCCCAAATATTGATTAGAAATGCAAATATTTAATAAATCAATATTCTGAATAAGCTCTTGACACAGAATTCATAGAATTCAGATTAACACAGGCATATGCTAGCTGTCTCATTTAAGTTTTAAGAATCTAGCTATACATTTCTATTTAGGCAGTGGCAATGGGGATCTTGTGTTTACATGACATAAATAACCAGAATATGATAATATTCTGATATTAATTTGAATTTATTTATATAAACATGATTAATGTTTATTGTCTCTTATTCAGTCTCTCACGTTTGCTTTCTCTCTCAGTTTGTCTATTTCTGCAATTCCCTTGTCCTTTTAGATGGATGCTCTACAATGTGAGCAAGGGTCTTAAGTGGAAGGAAAGCTTTATTGATCGGTGGGAAGGATTCCAGAAACACACAGCTGTAAAGCCTCTAAAGTTTCTCTGTTTACAATGCATGTTTGAGTGAGACAAATTTAGGCTTGGTTCATCTCTCTATCTCTTATTGTTTAAGCCATCCATAAAAGCAAATGTATAGTGAAATTTTTCCTCTAGATCTCACTGGCCTCATATCATACAATCTGACAAGCAAAAAAAAAAAATCTCATAATGGTAAAAAATGTGCATGCACATGGCATAATACAGACGAATTTCCAGCACAAACTCCAGTGTACATATTGAGTTTTTCCATTGCTGCTGTAACGTGGTTAATATATTTTATTATTGTTTACTAAACGTATTTTACGGTCTTGTTTGCTATCTCCAGCTTTGATGTTTTGGTCTGTGTCATCATGGCTGCAGGCCAGGAAGTTTTTTTAAGCACTGCTCTTGTTCAAGTAGAGCATGATAATTTCACTAGCTGATAAAGTATCTACTTAGGCAGTGTGATAAAGTTAAGCCTTTCCACTGGCCTGAAGTTCATGCCTAAAACTCTTTGCCTGGATCTGCTTGTTTCCACAAGAAAAGACTTTTAAAATCTGCTCCTCTTAACATTCACTGTGCCTTCATCTTTCATATGAGGACCATTATGTTAAATTTTTAAATGTTCCCCACGTCCTCTCTGATCTCAGAATAACTCAAAAGCTCAGTCTGAATCATGACGAGATTCATCTGTCCTTTTCATTTAAACCATCATCATCACCTACATCCTCGACCTCCTGTGAACCTGAGAGTTCATCAATTTAGAAATAAACCATCTCTCTTTTTCAATTATTTATCTTTTCCTCTCTTCTACACTCTCTTCCCACAGCCTTTAAAAAGTGTAGAAATTTCTCAATGCATAATTGCTGTAGCTTTGTGCTGGGGCTTTCTAGCTTTTATTTTAATGTTAAATAGTCAGTAGTGATTGCAGATAATTAAAATATGTTGTGTAAAAAAAAAGGAAAAAAATCTATATAAAAGTGAATTTAGGTACTACAACATTATAATGTATAGTACAGTATGAAAAAATGCAATGTTTTCTAAAGAAAACTTTTAACAGCGTTATTAAATTATTAGTGTTTTTAAAGGCATAGTTCACCCAAAAATGACAATTCTCTTAGGTTTACTTCCCCTTGTGTCATTCCAAACATATCTAACTTTATTTTGTCTGTGAAACAAAAAAGAAAAGTATAAAAATATTTGAGGAATGTTGGTAACCAGTTCAGTTTTTGAACTGTTCCTCTGAAATTTAACTTTAAATCAGCATCAGACGATAGTAAAGGTAACCTTAATGTAAAAATATGGGAAAGGACCAGTGACAATTACGTTTTATTATATGATAAGTAACTATAGCTAATACTAATCTCTAATTTAATGTGATTTCCAGCACCTCCTCAGCAAACACATAAACTCTATGCAGCTTCTGATACATGATGTCATTGTAAAATATCCATTTCTCGCCTTCTAAAGTTATTTTATGTAGTTATTTCATCCCAAATTGTGAATTAGTTCATAAAAACTGGCATTAAAGACAGAAAACACTATAATCCCCTTCATCAAGTTTCCCCTTCGTTTTAGAAATCGAACATGCACTCTCGCCTAGTCAGACTCTATAGAAACTGTGTTCTCTGTTGTTTTGACCAATGAAAGGCAAATGAATTAGAATCAAAGCAGCTCTTATTTCATTACGGCCATGCAGTAAAATCATCTTATAATGGCTCTGCATATTAAAGGCCATTAACAAGATGTGTGGAGTCTATTTATGCTGAATTACTCATTTCAAGAGCATCATCAAAGGCTGGGATTAATGCTATTTTGAGCCTGAGCTGAATATTGTTTTTGAAGACTTTTAATAACCAGCTCTCTCCATCTCCTTCTCTTTAATAAGCATCTTTTCAATAGCCAATTCTTCTCTTCTCTTCTCTTCTCTTCTCTTCTCTTCTCTTCTCTTCTCTTCTCGTCTCGTCTCGTCTCGTCTCTTCTCTTCGAGGTCTGTAGGTGTGTAAGGCTCTTGGAACTGTGACAGCGGTACCTTCAGTCAAAATCTCTCTCTCATCTGGGGTAGGGGGGCGGTGCGTGACAGGGCAGGTTTGCCCCAGGACACAGCGCCACGGCCCTGGATTTTCCCTCCCACAGCACGGCCTTAGATGCCTGCTGCTCTGAAGAAGCAGATCTGAAACATACGTTTCCCGCTTGTGAATGTGTTGATGAGAACAGAGGGAATGAATGAGCGAGACGGTTTGAAAGAGAAGAGCGAATGGCCTTTGAGTGTTTTTAATGAGAGTACTCTCAGACTAAACCCACAAGCTTTCACAGGTAAATCCTGCTCTGAGTCTAATTAGCATGCATTTTGTTTGTGTGTGTATGAACTGTCCGTGTCTGAGGTCTGGTATGTGTAAAGGTGAGAGGTAATCCGCACAATAACAGGAAGGAGCAAAGCTTCCTATCAAACAGGCCTGTGAGAAATGTATGTTTAGACACACAATTCAGTGCTGAAACTTTTACCTTTGCACTTCTCTCTACAAACCTCTTCATCTAATAATACCTGACAAACACGAAAGAACAACAAAGAATGTACCACAAAGCATTCACACACACATTCACATATATAAAGAGTCCGCCCTTTCTCAGAACTGTGAAGAACACGTCAAGTCCCGGAAATGTTTATTGCTTCTTCGTTTTAAAATCCCCTATTATAGTTTCTCTTTCTGTCTTTCATTTGCATGAATTAGTCATTGTAAATGGAATTTTGCATATGGATTTTCATGTGTGTGTGTGTCTGTGTGTGTGCAAGGAGGAGTTTTTTAGTCAGTGTGTGTTTTTGTGTATGTGATGTGGTACTGATAGATCTAATAAGCATATGTCAGTTTGACCATCCTCTTATTTAAATATGGGTCAAACAGCTAGGGAACGTTTGTTCTCCTGGAGTTTAATTGTAATACAGTAACAATAATTAGGTCTATAAGGCAAACATCAATAGTGCTTTTTCTCATAGAGCTATAAAATTTCAGCATGTAATTAATCTGGCACCATTTGCTTCCACAAATCATGTTACACCACACTCTGTGATAGAGTGCATGTTCAAATGGAACAACATTTTCGTTAAGGTATGCAAAAGTGGGACACACCTTTCATCTTGGGCTAACAAAAAAGAAGTATACTTCCCTTGTCCATGTGATGTAATTTTCATCATTAGCACATTCTGCTGATGTCCATGCACACTGTCCATGTGCAGCTTTTTTTTAACGTTTTCTCAAAGCATCCATCCGAACTCTCTATTAATGTAGTGTACTTTAAATGGCTTGCAAGCTCAGTTGTGCACTAGACAGAGTGTAACGTGGAACATATATATCTCTTTATCCAAAAAGTATATCCAGGCTTAGAAATGCATGGCAACAACCTGGAAATCACTCACGCATTTTACATTATCACTAGAAAATGTAACCAAACGGATCCAACTTTTTTCTTTGCAGAAACTTTTGTTACATTTGGGTTCAGATGCTTTAAAAAATAATAAATAGGTTCAGTTACTGGATTTTCTGCATGGGTAAACACAAATGGAAATTTGCAGTGCCAAAGATCATGAAGTTGAAATAGGCATGGCTGTGATAAATGGTTGCAGTGTAAGAGAACCGCTGGGCAGGAATGCACTTGAGCCTGTGTTATACTTTGAAGGATTAGAAGACCCTGTCACCGTAAAGATACCATTTCACACATTTTAACCGAGGGAATTAATCTGTTCGGAAAAACTGAGATGAGTCAGCTCTAGCCTATTTGACTGTTTTTGAGGGAAGTTTTATCAAAATCTCAATTTCACCCGCTCTCTTACCCTCCCCAAC